TTATAAAACATGGAACATAGGAGTTTAGTACAGAATGCTAGAAAAGTGTTTGCTACAGTGAAAAGAGTGTAGTACGTTAGACAATGGATGCAAGGTTTAGCTGGACAAAGTGCAAGGAAGATGTTGAATGGGTCGTTTCATAGAAGCTGCAAAGGTTAAAATAAGAAAAAGGTAAATAAAAAAAAAAAGATAGTGAAGCTGTATCTAAATGAGATATTTTGTAAAAAATTATAATCTTATGTGTTCTATATATAGGTATTTCATTTTTTTGAAAAGGAGATAGTGGGGAGTGGTGGCATACAAAAGCACAGCACATAGAAGACATTAATAACTGAAAGAGATGAACAAATGAGTTGAAAATTAAGGCGAGTACATTGTGGTTCAAATTATTCTAAACTTGGAATGCTACATTAGAAAGAGAATATTATACACAAAAAAAGAAATACAGCTCTATCAACTTTGGCTCTCAGATAGAGGCCCTTCATGTAGTATAAAGACATCTTGAATTGCTAACTTTTTTTAACGGTCCAGTTGTGAGATCAGTGACATTTTCCATTTATCCAAATTCATGAAAAAATAAGTTACTTTCAATAACCTAGGTGAGTGAGTCCGGGTTTGTTCTGAAATAGCCACAACCCGGCTAGGCATTATCTGAAAAAACACTTCGTATTTTTGTAAAGAGCAAATAACATAACGTGTCTTCTTGACAACAAGAGAATTTTTTTTATTCAACATGTAGGCATTAACAATAATATGAACACTTATACACTTAATATAATGACTTTTATGACGCAAAAACAGCAGAAAAATTCAAGTTTCACATCTTATTTATTTTCAGATGATATGATGACATTAAGACACTTGGACCGTTTAAAACGAGAAACAGTATACGGTGTCGGGCAAGATGGCGGAAGATTCCAAAACGGAAACCTTTATTTGGGTATTTCATTTTTTTGAAAAGGAGATAGTGGGGAGTGGTGGCATACAAAAGCACAGCACATAGAAGACATTAATAACTGAAAGAGATGAACAAATGAGTTGAAAATTAAGGCGAGTACATTGTGGTTCAAATTATTCTAAACTTGGAATGCTACATTAGAAAGAGAATATTATACACAAAAAAAGAAATACAGCTCTATCAACTTTGGCTCTCAGATAGAGGCCCTTCATGTAGTATAAAGACATCTTGAATTGCTAACTTTTTTTAACGGTCCAGTTGTGAGATCAGTGACATTTTCCATTTATCCAAATTCATGAAAAAATAAGTTACTTTCAATAACCTAGGTGAGTGAGTCCGGGTTTGTTCTGAAATAGCCACAACCCGGCTAGGCATTATCTGAAAAAACACTTCGTATTTTTGTAAAGAGCAAATAACATAACGTGTCTTCTTGACAACAAGAGAATTTTTTTTATTCAACATGTAGGCATTAACAATAATATGAACACTTATACACTTAATATAATGACTTTTATGACGCAAAAACAGCAGAAAAATTCAAGTTTCACATCTTATTTATTTTCAGATGATATGATGACATTAAGACACTTGGACCGTTTAAAACGAGAAACAGTATACGGTGTCGGGCAAGATGGCGGAAGATTCCAAAACGGAACCTTTATGTTCCGCCATTTTCTTTTTACACCCAACGAAAAAAGTGGATTCAGGCATATTTAAAAAAAAAAAAAATGCCTGCATAGAAGACATAGCACTAAAATTAAAAGAAAAATAAAGAAAAGATGGCGGTGATAATTCGTATAATCTATTAACTTCACCATATTTTTTTATGTCATCAAAACTATGTACAATCAATATCTAGGACAAAAAAATAAATTACAATACTCACATACACAACCCGCTGATAACAAGCAGTTTTTAAAATCATCAGAGGGCATGTACGGAGTATCTCAATCTAGTAGTCTATATATTAAACTATAATTCTTAAGATGAGATGGTAACCCACACATACGGCTAGAATAGGTTAAGCTTGACTGGTAACACCATCAGTTTGTAACACAAACCAACCTCGATGAGCTGTACAGCTGAATAAATATGTGTATATATATATATGTATATATTTTCTATCTTGTATTCACTTTTTGATAAGTTTTCTTCTTTCTGACTTAACCGACCGTCGCTTTACAAAACAGCTTATACTGGTTGGAGTATGTTTGGTCACACCCTCTGTCTTACGACCCGTGTGTGTGTGTGTGTGTGTGTGTGTGTGTGTGTGTGTGTGTGTGTGTGTGTGTGTGTGTGTGTGTGTGTGTGTGTGTGTGTGTGTGTGTGTGTGTGTGTGTGTGAAAGTGTGTGTGTGTGAAAGTGTGTGTGTGTGTGAAAGTGTGTGTGTGTGTGAAAGTGTGTGTGTGTGTGAAAGTGTGTGTGTGTGTGAAAGTGTGTGTGTGTGTGAAAGTGTGTGTGTGTGTGTGTGTGTGTGTGTGTGTGTGTGTGTGTGTGTGTGTGTGTGTGTGTGTGTGTGTGTGTGTGTGTGTGTGTGTGTGTGAAAGTGTGTGTGTGTGTGAAAGTGTGTGTGAAAGTGTGTAAGTGTGTGTGTGTGTGTGTGTGTGTGTGTGTGTGTGTGTGTGTGTGTGTGTGTGTGTGTGTGTGTGTGTGTGTGTGTGTGTGTGTGTGTGTGTAAGTGTGTGTGTGTGTGTGCGCGTATTATGCATTTCGGTTGTGTACATCGATCCCAACGGACATGAATGTGTGGGTGTAAAGAAGTAAGCATTTGCAGTCCGAATGCTTTACAGCGGGTCGTTGCAGTGAGACCTGAGCACAGCAGTTGTCAAGGGAGAGAGAGGTAAAAACCACCTGTGTGATTATAAGTCCACCTGCGTGACTTTCGATAATTTTTATTATTCAAAACAGCACCATTTCGATTGTTCGGAGCATTTTCATATGTAAAAATACCTGTGCGCATTTCATTCGTTTTTTTTTTGAGAAGGTTAATCGAATCATTTTTTTCATCATCTTGGAAAACAACTGGTAAAAAAACATATAGATTAGATTTTTTTATCCTCTTTTACTTTAACTTCACAGGTCCGACTCTGGCAGACGATTTGTAGCTTGACATCTGCTCTCCCTAGGCCATTGCTACAGAGAAGCTCAAGGCAAAAAAATATATTACACGCATACTTCAGATGACCTCAGCACCAGTTTCAAAAGAGACCAAACGACTTAACTAAAACACTTGTCATGGACTACAGACCAGCATCAGTGTGGCGGCGAACTTATAAAAAATAAATCAGAAGAAACTTATCTTAAACATATAAAAATAAAATACAGGGAAGGAATTAAAAAAAAAAAGGAGGGAGAGAGAGAAGAAAATACTCTCAGGTCATCTGAACATGTGTGTGGCTATGTGAACAATTTCCGGTGAACATCTAGATCCTACCACATACATAAATCAGGCAAAAACCGAATGGATTGTCCGTTTAAACAATTATACAACGAGACATTGTATGGGACACCAATATCTTTGGAATTCCATAGTCACTTTGAGAAAAATCATTAATATTATCTTTTTTCTTCTTTGGAGATAACAGATAGGTATTCTTTTCCAACAGTATTTATGGTATTGCTGGGGATATATATATATAATAGCTTTTTTTCTCTCATACGTTGCAAAACTGTATGGTTATCTCTCACTGTTGCATTATGGATACTTATGTTTGGAGTGAACGCAATGTTCAAACAGGATCCCACCCAAAGAGTCCCTTGGCCGCCCACACGTGTAAATTTGTTGACCATACACCTAGGGCGTGAGGGCGGCCAGGGGAGGAACCATCCAGACGAAACAGGGCTGGCTCAGTCTTTTGGGGAGGGGGAGGGGAAGGGGGGTTAAACGGGAGGGGGGGGGGCGGCCTGGAAAGACATCTATCCACAACGACGGAGTTGGGACTGCAGGAGGCCACGAGGAAGGTCGTCCTCCACCTTTTTGCTGGTGTGGCGAGGGCTGCGGGGCCAAAGGGAAGGTGAGGGGAGGGGAGATGGGGTTGGGGATGGGGCGGGGGGAGGAGGGACAGTGGGGGGAGGGTAGTGTGCGTGGGGGATGGGGGGGGGGCAGAAACCAGGAGAAGCACTTCCCAGTTCAGTGCTGATCCCGTGAGGTTGGTTGGATTCAGTGGACGTCAGTTACATTGAAAAAATGTGAACACTGAATATATGACACGAAATGACATATAATACTGACTAAAACATAAAAGGCAAAACAGTGACCAGACAACGTTAAAATTGGGACACAATATAGGCTTGAAGCCATGGCAATAATAGTCTCGTCAGCAGAGTTACAGACGGGCGCCGCGTATAGGCTACAGGTACTTAAAACTTCCACAGGAAAAATTAGTTCTAGCAGCACATTGGGGGACTTCAAACCCTTCTATGTAACTCCCAGCTAGACCAAAAAAGCGTTAGTAGGTCAGTTACTCCATAGTATTATCACCGGGCCAATACACAGTCAACGGAGACAAAAAATAAGATTCAAAACACGGATTCTGGAACAGGCGCCCCTTTTGTAGGAGGAATCGCATCCTCTTTCCAGGGGATCGGCGCGCTTCAGACAAAGGAAGCGCGCGTCCCGGAGGAGGAAGTGGTAACGAGAAGGGCCCAAGGAACATTATTGCAAATCTTTCTCTTTTTTTGCACTTATTCTTGGCCAATTTTTGTTTTGAATTCCACAGCACCATCGAGTACGTATTGGATTAATAATTCTAAATAGAAATTCAGAAGACGAGATCTTCTTTGGCATCATTGCGTTCAAATAGGTTTTCTTTTTTGAGGGGTGGAGGGTACGATTCTGTATCACAGAGTAAAAACCTCCAGACATAAATGGGAGAATCAGCATAGCCGACAAGTTTGTGGAGATCTCTTACGTAGAGCCTAAGTGATACAGAATTCATCCTTGAGAGTGGGTTCGCTCTTGGTTGATGCTGGCGAAGAGTTCCTTGGACCAATTCTGGTTCCCGGTTCTGCGACATTGGGATTCAAGGAGCCCAAATTATAAGAGTATTTATGTACAGGGTTTTGTACAATTACCTATGCACAAGGTAAGGCCGAAAATATTGTATTTCAGACTATTCTAAGTTGACTTAAAAGTAATTACAAAAATACGGAATCAAGCTTTACTGAGCTCAAAGTATAAACAATATTCTCATTACTCATCCTTCAAATCTTTTTTTCCAGTAAATCACAGAATGACTAGTTTGTCAAGGGCGTCCCACCGAACTGACAAGTCTCATATCATGCACACCAGAGCTTTCATACTCTCATGCCGACAAGGCCGAACAAACCGCCAGGGGCCTCTCTTCTTATACCGATTGTTGAAAATATAATGCATTCATACTCTCAATAAAATCTGTAAATCTGAAGTGTGTCTGCACGTACGCTGCCCCTTCGTCACGTGACAACTACAATGCACTCTTACTTTTGTTTTTATTCTGTGGGCATGACTCCACGGGGGAGTGTACAGCAGCTTCCTGCATGGGGTATGTTTACATGAGGAGCGTGGCCACTTAACCGCAGACCTGGCTGGGCGTGGGCAGTGGGCAGCGTTGACGCGGGCGGGAAGGTAACACGGGAATCTGGCGTCGTCGCCCTCTGCTTCTCCGGTAGGCCCATGGCCACGTCAGCTCGACCAAGGGGTCCCAGCTTCGTCAGGAGCCAGCTCACAACACGACTTCGAGACGAAGATCGTTGAGCCTAATGGTTTTACAGTCTTGAGACGTTTTTTCGTTCTCTCGCCGATTCAGAAGGGAAGGCTGGACACGAACATGTTCTCTATCAGCTGAGGCGCCGGGACCAGGTCCTCCAGCTTCAGGTAGAAGATCCTCTGCAGGCCCTGCACCGACAGCGATCGAAGCTCCGGCAACTTCCCCAAGATGCGAGAGAAGTAGTGAGGCTTCTTCTGGGCGTCGGCGTTGTAGGTCACGTGGTCTCTCAGCGAACTGATGATCTTCATCTGCAATTGCTCCACCTTTTTGGTGTCCTTGAGGCCATGTCGCTCTGCAAGGCAACCAGACATAGGAATTACTCTCACGGCGTTCTCTAGAGGCTCTGAACCTGTCACTATGTGCACAATTGTATTCAAAGTATCCAAATCCCCCCCTTTTCCCTCTCTCTCTTTCTCTCTCTCTCTCTCTCTCTCTCTCTCTCTCTCTCTCTCTCTCTCTCTCTCTCTCTCTCTTTCTCTCTCTGTTTACACAGGAAGAAAAATGTACAGATACACACACACACACACACACACACACACACACACACACACACACACACACACACATACACAGAGCAGCCTTCCTCCTCACCTGTAATGATCGTCAGAGCGGAGAGGCAAGCAAATGCTGAAATATCCAATTCCATCGATTTTAGCGATGCTGAGAAATCCAAGATGCCTTGTAGCCACTCGCCGAATGACCACTCGCACTGGGACCTGTGCAACACTCGGCCGCTGTCGAAGACGAATTTCGTGTCCTCGGGGTTGTTCCTGAAGAGGGAAACGAACAAAGGGGTTTCAATGGGCTGCAGGAGCACTATGTCCGCGCATTGTGTTCGGACGGTTGAGGAGACGCCGGTGATAATAATATTTTGATGAATGATAATAATGATGGTAATAATAATAATGATGATAATAATATTCAGTAGTTGTATAGGAAATGAACGATTGCATTCACTAGGCTTCAAGAGAGTAAATATGGAGGTCAGACGTATTATATTTCAGTAGACTTTTAGATTGAGGGATTGTGATGATAATGGCGATGGTGATGGTCACATCGTCAATAATGATATGCTAATCAGACTTATTGTGATAACATATAGCAATCCCGGTATAATAAACTAATATCCCGTGAAGTCTTACATATTCATAAATGAAACTGACAGTGACACAGAGACTAGGTAATATGCAGGTGAAGAATAATTACACATGTAGTGCATATAAGTTGATGCAGTTCTAACAGATCTTTACTTGCGGACTGACAACTCCTTGAAAGGGGCTAACTGTTACTAGTAACCGTGGAAAGGTGTCGTTAAGTCTAAGTCTACTTACATGAGTCTGTAGGCTACTCTTAAGACAAAGAGCTCGAGGGAGGCTGACTGGAAGAGGAGATCTTGGTCTTCGCGGGCGAGGTCGTGGTAGCCGGGGATCTTCTCGGCGAAGTGTCGGATGACTTCGATGCTTGAGGTGAGGAGGTTGTAGAACAGCTGGATTCGCTCGGCCTCCGTGGTCGGGGAGTCGCCGCCGCTGGAGGGCTCGCGGTACTGCGAATAGTCGAGGTTGGACACGTCCGGGGTGGTGTCCACGTGCGCCCGCACCAGCGCCGTGATCAGGGACACGGGCGGGGAAGGCGGGGACTCCTGGGGACTTTTGGGCTTGCTGGGCAGGCGCCCTCGGCGGCCCTTCAGGCTGTCGGTCCTCACCACCTCCTTGACCATCCCCACCACCAAACACTTTTGGAAACGACAGAACTGACATCGGTTGCGGCGACGCTTATCGACGGGGCAGTTTTTGTCAGCGAGACAGACGTACTTGGCGTTTTTCTGGACGGTTCGCTTGAAGAAGCCTTTGCAACCCTCGCAGGTACGAACGCCATAGTGCTGACAGGCAGCCGTGTCGCCACAGACGGCGCACAGCTGTGATGGCGACTGTGGCTTTTGATCAGAGGCGGGGCGCCCGGAAGCCATGGGGGGCAGGTGCGAGCGCATCAACGAGGGGTCCATATGCTCCCCTGCGCCCTTGCGGCTCAGGAAAGGCATGGGGGGCGTGCTCGAGGTGGAGGGGGCCATCTCCGGGTAGTGGTGGGACGTGGAGGGACGCATGTACTGGTCTGGATGGAGGGGCTGAAGAGCATCGTAAGTGGGGGCGTTGGGGTAGAACTCGCCGCTGAACGTCTTGGCCGGGCCGGAGTAGCCGTGTGTGACGGGAACGGAAGGACTGGGGTAGGGCGCAGGCCTGGCGTACACCTGGGGCGAGTGGGCGTAGGCCTCGAAGGGACCTGTGCTTTGTTGCTGCTGCTGTTGTTGCTGTTGCTGCTGCTGTTGCTGTTGTTGCTGCTGCTGTGTGTTCAACTGGGCTTGCTGCTGTAGCTGTTGCTGCTGCTGGTGCTGCGGGGAAGCCTGAGGGAAAGTCTGGTGCGCCGGCGGGGGCTGCGGGTACTCGACGGGCCGCCCGTTGTCGGTCTTGAAGGTGAACACATCAGCCTCCAGCGGTCTGTACCGCGGAGAGTAAGTCTCCTGGAAGCTTGGCAGAGCTGCAGCCGCGGCCGCTGCGGACGAGGCAGCGGTGACTGCGGTGTGACCTGGCGATCCGGGCGGGGGCGTCCCCGAAGACGGGTGGCTGATGACGGGCTTGAGGTCCTCGAGGGGAGCGGCCGCCAGCAGGTAGTCAGTCTGGAAGACATCGGTGAAGGAGGCTTCGCTGCCGCCCTCGCCGTAGCTCGGCGCCGGCGTGGCTGTGAACGCTGAGCTTATCTTGAACTCCTCGCTGGTGGTTCCGCTGAGGGAGTCATCTCCGAAGGTGGACGCCAGGCCGTAGGACGCCGACAGGGCTTCAGCCACGCTCGGGTGGAGAAGGGATTGCTGCGGGAGAAGAAAGGCCGGTTAGTGGGCTCGCTCGGACGGCTGCAGCCACACAGACAGACACACGCACGCACACACACTTACACACACACACGTATGTCCGAACAGATCATGCTCAAGCATGCACATACATCGACAAAGAAGAGAAGAGGGTGCGAACAAGAGAGCAGACACGAGCAGACTAACAGCGGCAGCAGCAGCAGCAGCAGTAGCAGCAGCATCTGCCATGCAGTGTGCGGTTGCGGCATGAGATAACCACAGCGACCACGAGCGTAACGCGGCGCTACCGGTGGTGTCCAGCTACACTGTGCCGCAGGACAGTGGGTGCTGGCGGGTGCGTACCGGCTCTGGCGACGGTGCGGCGGCGCTCAGCCCGGCGCGCCCCTCGGAGTCGAGGCTGGCGGGCGGGGCCCCGGGCGGCGCGGGCGACTCGGCGGCCAACAGCACGGGCGTGACGGAGAGCGGCGTGGCGCCCGGCGAGGCCGAGGAGGCGGGCAGCGCCGAGACCACGACGAGCGCTTGCGTGGTCGCGATGCTCAGGTTGACGGGCAGGAGCGTCGCGAGCGTGGGCGGGGGTGAGGGCGTCCTGCTGGGCGGCTTGTCCTCCATGTCGTGGGTGTTGTGGGCGCGGAGCTCGTATTCTCGCCCCATCAGTGCGGGCGTGGGCGTGGGCGGACACAGCCACGACAGTGCCAGCGGGGGGGCGCCAGCGGGGACGGCGGGGCACCACACAACCACACAGTCCTCGGCGACCTCAATCTTGGCTTCACTGTTAACTGCTCGATCAACACTCTGTGGCGCCGCACTTCAAAAGGGTTATGAGACATTGGGTGTTGGATAACTAAATGCAGTTTTTAATATGAGTCTTCTTTTCACTTTGTGTTTCGAATTGATAAACCTCAAGTGCAAAAATGACTTTGTGGGGGGAGGGCTAATAACTTTTGCTTTTATCTTTTCTCTTCAAAACTCTTCAAAATTATATCTATGTAAGTATATTTCTCACATTATTTCCAAAAATAAGTACATCGAAAAAATAAAGTAGACAAGCTTTCTATAGTGACAATGTTGGTGCCGTCGAACTGGCTGCAGGCCGGCTACTGCTGCTACGTGGTGCCACGGCACTCACTCGGGGCGGGCCACGCGGGCTCATGGCCTCCCTACGCCCTGGCACTCTCTCTCATTCTCTAGTTCTCTTAACCTCCCTCTCTGTGTCACCTTTCTCTCTCTCTCTCTCTCTCTCTCTCTCTCTCTCTCTCTCTCTCTCGTTCTTTCTTTCACTCTTTCTCTCTTTCTCCCTTGCCCTTCTCCTTTTCCTGTTTCTTCTTTCGCTCTTTCTGTTTTACAACCTAACTCTTTCTCACTATTTTCCCTGACGCAATTTCTTTGATTATCTCTCTCTTATTATCTCTCCCTCACTCTCTCTTGTTTACTTACTTGCTTACATTCTCACCATCTCACCATCTCTCTGTCTCTCTGT